AAAAAAAAAAATGAAAATGTTCCTTATGGCTGAACAATACGTGTGTGTGTGCGTGTGAAGAATGGATTAGATGAGAGCAGGCATAGAAAATGTTTCAGCTCTTGGCAGAGATTGACAGAATAAAGATTTCATTTTAGAGCAATGCTCATAACTTGCTTTTAATAAATATTATATAAGAATTACCAGTGAACTCACCATTACCATCTGTTCTATTTTTTTCCCATTCCATGGTAGAGATACCAATGTACATTTTTAGAGAAGGAAATTTCAAAGATGACATGTCTTCACATGGATAGGTCCATGAATATGGTCATGTACACTTCCACAGACAAATCCATTAATTTGCTTTTAAGTATACATTTATAATGATAAACAGTACCAATCCTATTACTTATGCACTAATGGTAGTAAGTACCCTTTGAATGTTTTGATGTTAGTATACATGCCCATGTCTATCCAGCATTGATGTAAGTGCAAACTCAATAAAAGATCATCCAGTCCAATTCCTATTTGCATGGTAGGATTAGGGACTCCGCTATTTTAAGCAGTACTCTTTTTTATTGGCCAGTTTTGTAGCTTATTTTATGTCTCATGTCCTACCAATATGTTTTTACTAAATCCTTAACACTGGACTATAAATTCCTTTCTCTTATCTTATACATAGGAAAATAACTGAAGACAAAAAATAATAATAAAGCTCATTTGAGCTATGCTTTTCACTTTTAAAAATGTTTGCTACTTGGTTATGTTGAGATATTAATAAGGCCATAGGTCTTTTGCTGTGTCTTTTGTTGTTGTTTGCTTTTTTTGAGCCTATGTTTCACACTGTAGTCCAGGCTTGCCTTAAAATCATGGCTCCTGCCTTAGCCTTCCAAGTGCTGGGATTACAGGCGTGAACCATTGCACCTGGCTTCTACCATGCCAATTTATCAGCACAGCAGAAAAAGGGCCTATCTATCACTCTACCCCTCTAGCTTACAACCTTTGCTTCCAAGCACAGATGGATCCATTCTTATCACCTGTTTGGCCAACCTTCATCCCTTCCTCTTTTCCAGTGTGTGGGGGGGACCTCATCCATTAAGGGAGAAATTCAATAATGAACTGTCCATGTGAAATTTTTCCCTTTCTAGAATATAAAAAGCTATAAATAAGCAGAAATGTGTGGTGGTCTGTGGAATCAATGACTATTTATTACCATTACATTATGCTTTCCAAATAACAAGAGAAATTCTATTCAGCCAAAAATTGTATTCACATAACACCTATATTGATGTAGCCTTAAAGGGAATGAACATTTAAACACTTACTTTATTCCAGCACTATTTTCAAACTTTGCTGTGTGAGAAAAGCAAACAGCTCTGCTCTCATCCTTCCATGTGAGGAAAAAAAGTATTACTCAGAAAGCTAAGTCAACAACAAAATACTTGATACAATGCTATGCACAGAATTAAAGTATGCTCGTGTTCTTGAGTGGCCCTCGAGAGTGTTGAGAGACATCTCTAAGGGATGATATCCATGTTGGGATCATTATAAATTACTTGCTTATTCCATACCTGGCACTGGAGAAAAATCTACTACCACAGTAAAGAGACTCAAGAAACTATGGATTGCAAACCTCCAGAGGACTCTTCATGCCACTAGCAACAGTGCGAAGCCTTCTAGTCAACTTCTTTCTAGTTCTAAACAAAGCTCTACAACTTTTTTTCACCATCTACGGAGAGTTCTGATCTTGTTTCATTAAAAATGTAGATGTGATTAGGAGGAGTTTTCCTTATTCATTACCAAATCTATCCAAATCTGTTTATGCTACTTTCCTTCTGTTGGAAGAGAAACTTTCTGCAGTCCTATATATGCCATCCTTTTACTTCTGCACTGTGTCTGGAGCCATCTGACTTTCTCTAAGAGAGGAGAACACAACTGAAGCTGTGTCCTGCCCATGCTTTCTGTTTTCCTTTGTCAGTCCAATCACCCATCATTCCATCTTGTTAGAATCTATGAACTCTACTCCATTTGATACATAGAAACTCCTATGTTCTCTATAAGGATGCCGAGGTTCAGTGTGATTCAGCTTCAGTACTTTCATGACTTCTGCTCCTTCCCTATCCCTCTCTCTACCTCATGCCTTTGCTGGTCCTGAAGTTCATCAGAGCACAGACCTCTGTACTTCTGACTTAATTGACTCTGACCTGGCTTCCTCCAGATATCTACACATCACTTGTTCCCTAACCTGTAATGCTCTTTGCTCTCATGTTACTCATGTTTCCTATATTTTATTAGAATTTCCCCCTCAACTACCTGATTACCTGTTACTATTGCTCCCTCTGGCTGTTTTAGAGTATTACTCAGGGTTCTTTAGGATAACAAAACTTATAGAATGATTCTCTCTCTCTCTCCACACACACACACACACACACACACACAGAGAGAGAGAGAGAGAGAGAGAGAGAGAGAGAGAGAGAGAGAGAGAGATTTATTAGAATGACTTAAGGGCTGTGGTCCAGGCAATCCAAAAATGGTGGCCTATGTATGGAAGGTCCACAAATATAGTAATTGTTCAGTTCTTGAGACTGGATATCTCCTCTGGTCTTCAATATATGCCAGAATCCCAAAGAAGTAGGCTTTAATGCCAGAGAAGGAATGGACATGCTTTGCTAGTTAGATAAGCAGGAAGCACACAAAAAGAGGGGTCATCTCTCTTCTGTGGTGATATATTGTGTACCCTAATAAAATATGCTCGAAGATGAAAGAACAAAACAAGCCACTAGATTAAACATAGAGGCCAGGCAGTAGTGGCACACACTGTTAATCCTAGCATTCAGGAGGCAGAGATCTGAGTTCAAAGCCACCCTGGACTACATGAAATTGATTCAGTCTAAGAGAGAAACAGAGTCAGGCAGTGGTGGCACACACCTTTAACCCCAGTACTTGGGAGTCACATGCCTTTAATCCCAGTGCTAGGAAGGATGTGATATGGCTGGGTGGGGAAAAGTATATATGGCATCAGGAAACAGGAACTAAAGCTTTTCTGCTGAGAGCACTTTTGGCTGAGGACTTAGGCTTTCAGACAGAGGATTTGTGGAGTTGGTGAGGTAAGACATGGCAGTGGCTTGTTCCTGCCTCTCTCTGATCTTTCAGCATTTACCCCAATATCTGGTTCTGGGTTTTTTTTTTTTTATTAAGAGACCACTATAGATTTTGTGTAACACTCTTCCATGATTTTTATATAGGTTTCCAGCAGAAAATGTGCTCCAGATTAGAGGTGGGTCTTCCCACCTCAAAAAAAAAAAAAAAAATCTGGATTAAAGGTGTGGGTTCCTAACTCAAAGATCCAGATTAGAAGTAGATCTTCCTACTTTAAATGACTTGATTAAGAAAAAAAATCCTCTCACAGGTGTGTTCAGGTATTTTGGGGTTTTAGTTAATTCCAGATGTAGTCAAATTGGCAACTAAGAATAACCATCACACTTAGGGTTTCTATTGCTGTGAAAAACCAGCAAAAGCAACTTGGGGGAAGAAATGGTTTCCTCTCACCTTACAGTTTAAAAGTCCATTACTGAGTGAAGTCAGAGCAGGAATTCAGGAACCCTGGAGGTAGCAACCAGTGCAGAGACAATGGAGGAATGCTGTTTACTGGTTTGCTTCTGGCTTTTTCAGCCTGTTTTCTTTCTTTCTTTTTTTTGGGGGGGGAATTGAATATTTTTATTATTATTTTACAACACCATTCAGTTCAACATAATAGCCACAGATTCCCCTGTTCTCCCCCTCTCGCCCACCCCTCCCCCTAGCCCACCCCCCATTCCCACCTCCTCCAGATCAAGGTCTCCCCCGAGG